AATAACTTCACGTATTGCATTATATGAACATTTCCAGGTCTTTCCATGGGACTAGTCATAGAGATTGTCTTCTGTGAAGACAACAGACTGGTTGATACAGATCTGTTGCTGTGTTAGCCAGGCATCAACCTGTGCATGCTGGTTCATCTGTTGACACCATCATGTGAAAAATGTTGTTTCACACTTGGAGTGCCTTTTTGCTGGTTTTTAATCCTTTGCTTCCAGAGTGGATTTAACAGAGCTGCACAAAGGCGTTCTTTGGGTGGGTTATTCTTTGCACAGAGACTTAAAGCTCAGTAGTCTTGCTGGGCTGTTTCCCTGGAGGGACAAGAACTCAGGGCAGTTGAACTCACTTAATAAAGCAGCAGAGTTTATGAGTATTATGTATATGTTCTCTATGGATCTTCCCTTTCAGAGGGTAGATGATCTTTATACTATAATCATTTTACAGCATAAGGTCATTTTATTTCTGCACAAAGTTGTCCTCACAGAGGATTAATTCTCTTGTGTGTGTGTATCAAACACATTCTTATCACTGGGCTTCTATTTGAGCTGGTTTGCCGTTTCAGAAAACTTTTGTGTGTCACCAAATCATAGGTGTTTGCAAGATAAGAACCTTTGTCCCACTGTGACATCCGTGGTAGACATTAGGCTCAGAAAATTTGGCCAGTTGGCTAATAGTAATTGTGTAAAGAAGAGTATATGTTTGTAATAGAAATGACAGGTTTGAAAATTGGTCTTAATCCATTTAAAGGAAAAGTAGAACAAAAAGGAGAAAAAAACATTTGGCACATCTGGTTTGGGCAAAGTAAAAAGGCATCCTTCAGCTGTTCTCACACAGGCAGCAGTAAATGTTTGTCACCATGCAAGCTGAAGTATGAAAGAAGCGTTTTCATTTGTCAATAGCACTGAGAAATATTAGCCAGGGGGTGATGAGCTGCTCAAACAACAGAAGTTCAATTAAACACTCAAAGCATTGGAAAACGTCCTTTTAAAATGTAGTGTTTGCCCTCACTAATTAGTACAAAAGAGATTTGTATGTGTTTTTATAAGTTAACAAGGCATTGGATGTTTTTGCTTGTATGCTTTGGGATGGTTCCCTGTGACTTTCTGAAGCCATCAGATGTTTCAGTAAATAAGTTTATTTACAAGGGACTGCTCAGAAGAATTATTCTGGATTAATGTTTTAAAACAGATTAATTAAATTGCATTAAACTTATGTGTGGAAAAGCTGATCTGGAATTCAGGTGAATTTAGTTGCTTACAGATATTAATTTGCTTAATTAAACAAAGGCTAATTTGTGTTAAGTGCATCAATTCTGAGTAAGACTGTTGGCAGAGATCGTTAGTGCACTTTTATCTGATCTGCTTTAAATTTATACCTTTAGTTGTCTCCGCGTTTTCTGGGTGTTGCAGTACTAGAGCCACCTCCTGGCAAGCGGTTGCAGAAAGGCTCTGGGCTTTCTGCTCATCTCTTTGCCTTTGTTTCTGATTATGAAAATCCAGGAACAGGGAGGAGTGTGTGTCTTCACTTTCAACTCATAATACATAAATAGGGAAGTTAACATTTTTAAGATTTGGTGGGTGATGAAATAGGTTGTATTTATTATTAGAAGGTTTAATTTTTTTACTCCATATTGATGCTTGTTCCATCTTGGAATCTTTAGGGCTGTTTTCTCAGGTTTTGAAAAAAAAAATCCTTTGGGAGGTAAGAAGGAACTAATGTAGTATGTGTGCTGCATATGATTATTTCCATTATTCACTCTGATTAAAACCTGAGACAATTTTTAGTTTGTGCTGCTTTATACAACAGGAATGGGTTTATGGTGGCTTTATTAGGCAAGGTTTGCAAAAGTCGTGTCTGGCATGCGGAGGGGAAAGGGTGGACAGTAACAGAGCTGATACGGGAACTGGTTGCATGATGCAAGAGGTCTGAAGGGTCAGAAGCATTTGAGGTAACTGAGATTTGAAGGCACCCAGGGCTGAGGTGGGAATGGAGGTGGGAGGAAATCCCTCCGGTACACACCATAACCTATTCGTCAGTTTTTGCATTGTGGCAGAGTTGAAGAAGTCTCTTCCAACCCACCAAAAATGCTCTGGGAGAAGTGATGGATGCAGTGCAGATCTAAATAGCCACCTAAATAGCTCAGCTGGAGTCAGTGCGAGTCTGGCTGGCCAAGGCCTCCTGTAGTGTACGTATTAATGAGACATTTTCCATTGTCTGGTATGAGCTGTCTTCCCATACCCCTCCCCTAGATAATGGCAAATTGACTGTAAAATATTGCTCTGTTGATCCAACTTCCACATGCTGGCTGGGGGAAGAAAAGTGGGCACGTTTCATGTCCCTCTTGCAGTTTATCCTTGGCTTCCTGACTTTATGTTAATATTTCTTCCTTATAGTTTAATATTTGTTCCAGGTGATATTTCAGCATGGGTGGCTTGATGCCAATGTACATATGCTTAATTTGGAATTAATGGGGACTAGCGTTTCAGCCAGAAAAAAGAAAGCGGGGAAAAAAGAAAAGGAAAGGCTGGGAATACTTAGCAGATTTCAGAAGTGTTTTGCATGAGGAAATGCTGGTAAATGCTTCACTCAGTAAAATGTGTGGAAGCTGTATTGGCAAAGTTGTTCTGAATTTTATCAGCTTTTCAACACTGATAAGCTAACTGTTAGATTTTATTGGGCCTTTACCCATGGTTCTGAAAGCAAGGTTAGACCACTGCTAAAATTCTCTGTTATAAATTGAAGTTCTGAATTTGGGAGAGGGACATTTTATACCAGTTGTGATGGCTGCTGTGGTGGCAGCACCCTGTGTAGCTTGTTTGGGCATTGCCTTCTTAATCCACACATCTAGTGTTAATAACAGAATTGTTTCCACTTACGTTCCAATAGAGGAGCTCTCTGCCTCTGGTGACAGCAAAAGTATATTTTGTTCTGCCTGTTGAGAAGGCAAAAATGTGTTCCATGAGGATGTTGGCTGATTGCCTGTAAGCAGTGTCTGACTTACTGAAGTTGTAATAAAATTTGTTTAAATGGAAATAAATACTAATGATATGAAGGCACATTGCTCTGTGTGTGTAGTAGCTGTTCTGCCTTAGTTTGGTTGTTATGCCTGTGTTTTAAGGCTCTGTGACAGAATAGTTTGATGGCACTTCTGACATGAGGCTGAATATTTTCAGGCTATGACCCATGAGAAGTGGGGAACTGATGTCAGAAGTGTGAAATTGTTTGTGTTGAAGAAAGGTTAAATCAATTTCAGTGATTTTTTTTTATTATTTTTTTTTAAATTAAGGAATTTTGGAAGGTTGAATACGTGCATCACGTGAAATATTAAACTGTGTTTAAACAAAAGCATCGCAAATCCTTTGTAATGCTTTATAAAATACTGATATGTTTGTAGCTATAACTCGTTTCAACACAACACGTGAACTAGGAGTGAAATCTTGAATTGTGTAAACAGACCAAGTTTTCAAAGTTGAGTTTTGTTCTAGTTTGTCCCTTTTTAGTGTTTGGGGTGGCGGCTGTCTTCCTTCAAGTTGAGGGCAGGGTTCTTAATATTACTTAGCAGTATGTGACATTATGAAACAATAACTGCAGCACAGCTGTTTTATTCTGTTAAGCCTGGCTGGTTACCAGGATTTCTCAGAAATGGCAAATACAATTTACCAAAATGGCATCCATATGCACTAATGTATTGCCAGGTTTTTTGGGCGTGAAGCCACAGGCTGTGCTGTCTCAACAGTTTTTCACCACGATCAGAATTCCAAATGACTCTCTATTGGCAGCACTGGTATTTTGAGTAAACAGTTGGGATACATGGAGAGACCCCCTTTTGAGATGGGCTTTTGCAGCGTGCAGTGGTTGCTCAGTCTCAAAGTTCTACTGTAGGTTGTATTGCTCTCTTCAAAAATTAGTATTCCACTTGTCTGGCTTAGTGGCTTTCTTGTGCTTAAGTGGAATAGGGAAAGAGGAAAATCTTTATGCATAGTTGGATTTGATTCAGTGTTGGTGTTGAGGGATGAATTATCGTTTCCACTGGTAGATCTCAGATTATCCCTCTAGTGTTTTTTTTGCTTCAGGTTAAAAAGGAAAAAAATTGGCTGATCTCTTCTTGGTATTCATTGTCTATACTTTTGTAAGCTGTGAGAATGCACAGATATGAATGGTTCCGGTGCTTCAAATTCAATTGTGCAGACTGAAGGTTTCTCTTAAAACACTAATGAATAACCTTGACAGAGGATTCCAAGGGAGGCAGGGCTGAGAAATGTTTTGGCTTTAAAATCAGGACCATATTCTGAAAATGGCTTCATCAGCATAGGGCTGTAGAAAACACAGGCAAGTTCAATAACTCAAGTAGAAAAGTCAAGTTTTGCTTCAAGTCTAGTTGTAATTAGCTACGAGAAGGCTCCTTTTTCTCAGTGACTGTTTCTGAAGGTTTGGGAGGCCTTTTAAGATTCATCCATGTAAGGATCTTGTGCACATACAGGTCTGTACAGAATGCAATAACTGCAAATCTAGCCTGGCTTGGGAACTTCATATGCCTTATAAGACTAAAGTCTGATCACTTCCAAGAGCTAAGCAATAATTTGTAAATTAAACCCCTGCTGTTTAGAAGTGGTCTAGTATGCTCTTGAAACATCTAAAACAAAAATCAATTTACAAAACAATGTTTTGTTTTATCCTGATGAGCTGCCAAATCTCTTAAGCAAATGTTCACTTTATCTGTTGGGAAAATGTGGAAAGGTGGACCAGCAAGGAAAGCTTGAGCTCTTGTCTTGGGCCTGGTGTAGAAAGACTGAGTTTGGGGTGATGCACATAGTTCAGTCCTTTGCTCTTTGATGAGGGTAGCGAGTAGAAAAATAGAATTTGATACCTCTGGTAGGCTGGTTACTTGCATTGGGAATTGCATCTCCTTATATAGAGCAAGAATGAAAAAAATAAAAGGAGTATTAATATATAAGGTAATCTGTATTAACACACACTTGCTGCTGTTTTTCAGGATTGCATGACTTGCAAAATTACCTGTGTGGGGACCTGCAGTGGTATTTGACTGGATATTGCTGCCTGGTTCTGAATGATGTCAGAACAGGATTTGGCAGATGTTGTTCAGATTGCTGTTGAAGACCTCACTCCAGACAACCCAGGTACAGTACAGGTGCTAGTGATAGCATATTTATAGTATTGCCCATTGACAAGGTGGAAATCGCTGTTGAGATTAATAATATAAAGCAGTGCTGCAGGTATTTTTTGAGAGATGATTCTTAAGGTTACACACCAGGTTTTCAATAGTTTAGCTGGTATATCTTCACTGCCCTTTAATCAGATTTTTTAAAAAATTATTTTACTTTTCTTTTACAAGGTTTATTTCCTGGGGCTTTTTTATGCAGGGGTAGACTAGTGCTGAAAACTTTGAATGAAATACAGCCTCCTGCAATCTTTGTTTTTCTCCAAACCAAATATATGTTTTAGGCTTTCCTTCAAATGAGAACTGTCAACCATCTATTATGATTTGTTTTACTGTAAAATAGTTTCTCTCATACATTATTCAAATTGAAAAATACTCCTGGAAGCAAATACTGCTATAGTCCTTGCTTAGAACTTGACCTACTAAGCCAAAATACTGAGATCAGCCACAGACACTGATCCCACGCTGCCATTACATGTGAGGAGGTGACTGAAAGAACAGTAACTACAGTTACAGAAAACAGAAACATGTAAAAAAACTTATTCTGATGCAAATCAAAAATGTTCCCAAAGTGCTGGAGGAGAAGCTGGGACCTGCCTTTTGTAGTCTACCAGGTAACTTGGTGTTAAGGAGTGTCTGCTGTGGTATGGTCAACCTTAAACAATGCTTCCTTTGCTCAGTTTGGTAAAGGAGCTCAAACCTGGGCTGGTTTTGAGTGATGCTCTCTCTGACTGTGAGGCTTTTCCAGGGCTTTACCCCTTAATTTTGCCAGCCAGGCCTTCAGGTTCTAAAGTCAGTTTTCCTTTATTACTTTTTTCTTCAAAATGCTTGTCTTTAGATGAAAGGCTATTAGAACCTATGGGTCTGCATGTGCAAGTGGCTATTTTGGAAAGGTGGCAGGATTTTGTTCATCCACACTGGGGATAAATAACCCACTAGTATGCTGAGTAGTGGATGTAATTCTTTCTTTGTGCAGAACTTCATTAGTACTTATTTTTTTAATTAACATGGGGGTCAGAAGCTTGTAGAATCTGTCAAAGCAGAACAGCAAATGTGGCAACTTTGCTACTTTCTGGTAAGTTCCTAATAAAAAAATCCAAGGTAATGCTTAAGTGTTACATCCTCAGTGTGCTTGAAATAAAGTATTGGATTTAGGTAAATGCTTTTTTGAGAAATGGTAAGACATTATCATATATTTAAGAAAGAACCCAAGTAAGTGCAAAAGAATACATACAATATGTTAAACACCTTTTATGTTAATTAAAAACCTTTTATTTTTTATTAATTTAATGTATTTTTAAATTGTGCCTTGTCCTCTTGTATTATAAACTATGGCAGTGCTTATTTTTCTTTGCAGTTGTGCTGGAGAATCATGAAGTGACAGACGATGATGTAGAACCTGCTCTGAAACGCCAGCGTATAGAAATTAACTGCCAGGATCCTTCTATTAAGGTTATGATAATGCCTTTTCCTGCTTTTATTTGTAATAGAATTGAGTTAGCTTACTTAGGGGAATACATTAAGAGAAATGAATGTGAAATTAACTATTTATTTATTATGTTATTGCATAGTATTAGAATTATAGCCTTCTTGTATATGTTTGTTCATTTTTGCATGTAAATTAAAAAATCTGGATGATTGCCTAGTTCTCCAGTGTAAAATCTCTAGCAAGAATTTTACATGCAATATAAAATGTCATCAGAATTAATTCCAGTGACTCAAATGTCACTATTGGTATATTTTTTGATAAAGTGAATAAAGTTGACCTAAAAGATCAACTTGATCATGTATTTGTATTACAATTTGTAGATACTTTGAGTATTTTTAAAATCATTATTTTAAGCTAACAACATTCTCCTAATAGCTAAACCAGATTTGGTTCAGGCTCAGTATCTCCAGCTTTTCTGTGCTTGCAGAACTTCCCCTGCTTTTCTCTCTAGTGTGTTTTAGTTTTGTGGGTTTTTGTTGTTCCTTGGAGCATATGAGTAGTGTTTTACTGCCACACACGTTAAACGGTATGTAGTTCTGAAATGGTCGTAGAAACTGAAGCTCTCTATTGGAAGAGCACGAGGGCGCAACACTGTAAGAGGTGTGCAAGTTGTAACAGTGGGCCACGAGATGGCATAGTTGCTGTTTGGGAAGGAGAATGCGTGTAACGTTACCCTTTAATGGCCTATTTTTCCCAAGATGAAGCAAGTAGAATAGGCTTTCTTTTCAATAAAATTGCTTAGGAAAACAGGTTTTATTTATTTGCTTTTCTTGGTTTGCTGTTCAGGAGAGAACTTAAATGAGTGGCATTAATTGTCTCTGAGGTTATTCGTGTTGATATAATTTCCACTGTAATCATTTGAATTTATGTGCTTGGGCAGGAAAAAAGATCTTACTTAACTTTATCCAGGAGGATGCATTCATAGATTTACAATCCTTTTGTTTTTACTTGTATGGAAAGGCTTTGACATGTGTATGAAATCATACCAACAAAGTACTTAGGTGAAAATATGTTTGGCTTGGATGCTTTTGGCTTATAAGTAAAGATCTGGAAGAACTTGAGAATGCTGAAATGCTCCTGGATGTCATCAATTTTATATGTGGATGAATGTTGTCACTAGGCACGTTCCTAGTTCCTTTAGGATTGTTTTCCAGTCACATTTGTCTGTAGCTTCCTTATGTGTATGTTGCTGGAGATAAATGCGTAAGTCTTTAAAATCAGTTTCTTTTTCATTCTCGCTTTCTAGTCGTTCCTGTATTCCATTAATCAGACAATATGCCTGCGGTTGGATAGCATTGAGGCAAAGCTGCTGGCACTAGAGGCTACCTGTAAATCATTGGAAGAGAAGTTGGATCTTGTCATGAACAAACAGCACAGCCCCATCCAAGTCCCCATGGTGGCAGGTTCTCCTCTTGGCGCTACACAGACATGCAATAAAGTACGATGGTAAGAAAAGAACAGATTACTCATCAACATGCTTTTTAAAATAACGTAAATCCATTTCTTTGGCATCAGATTCTGCAGCTTTCTGTGTAACTGTCAAGAGCTTGGAGTGCTGTTTATGAGTGTAGAGTTAATTTATCTTGAAGGTAATTTTTGTACCAGTTTCATGATGTTACTTAGAATGTACTTATGGTCCATGGACAGTTTGCAACTATTTCCACATTTCACATTTCATTTTGACTGAAGACTGGTTCATCCATCCTCTGGAAAAGTCTCATCAGCTATTTTAGACAGTTTTTTTTTTACTTGCTTTGCTTTTATTTATGTGGCTGTTTTGAGTTAATGAGTTCATCATTCTAATTACTTTTCATTTTCCTTTATTTCACCAGAAATACAACAGAGTTTGTTTTATGTGCTTATTTTCTAAAGACTCTTTCTAGAATAATATCTGCTTTTGGGAGGGTTAGAAGTTGGAAATGGAAAATCTGTTAAATAATCCATTTTGATGAAAGAGCAGGTTTGACCTGCAGTACCTTTATGTATGAGTTGCTTAATATGGTTTTAAATATCTGAATCTAAATGTGCCTGTCATTTTACTGTGGAGATGACTCCAGCCAGAGAAATATGCTTATCAAAAGTCTCTTTTGTCTAACAACTTTTTCCTCCTCATTCATACTTTTATAGTTAGAAAAACCTCAATACTTCTCTAAATAATTACTTTTTATTCTCCATTACAAAGGTGTATAGGCAACTTGCACATGTCATAGCATTCTAGTCAAGATATACTAAATTCATCTTTTGTCAGCCTGCTTTTCCATCTGCTGATCTTTATCGCTGTCTTTGAGCTGTCTCAATATCTGAAGATTATTTTGTATGTATTTTTGGTATGTTATACTTGGTGCAGTGTTTTAGTGCACTACTCTAGAGCTGTATAGAAAATTCAGTTCCTTGCTTTATGTCGTGGGGCTCACACATGTGATGTAAGGGGAAAAAAACCAGACCACCACAAACATGACCCTTGTTTTGGACCCCTTTCCTCCTAGGCTCCTTTCTGTATTATTATTTCTTTCAATATTGCTATATTTATAGTTGGTATTTTAAGTTAAAAAAATTATCTCAAGGTTGTAATTTCATTTTATTATTATATCTTCCAGTTCATGCATTTATGAAGCAGGGTGAACTATAACTGTGCTACTGTAAGGGTTCAGAGTTGGAGATTTTTACCTGAGAGAGATATATTCTGCTCAGGTACCTGTACCTGCTGCATAATGCAGACTGTTACTTCATGGTTGCTAACTGAGTGACATTACTGATGAGTGGAGTTTAATCTCTTTAAAAAATATCTTATTTGTATTTAAACATCTAAAATAATACACAACCCAATGTGTTTCTTGGTTTCTGTATTTAAAGTTTATATATCCTTTTTATTTTCAGTGTAACTTGGAGTAATCTCTGCATTTCCTGCTGAAGCAGTCACCTTTCCAGTCAGGAACAGCTGATATCCTCAGTCTTTTCCAAAACAACTTTCCTTTTCAGATGTCCAAATGCAGTGTTTGGGCCCCAGTTCAGGATTTCTTCACTTGTCTTTGTTCTTGTGCTGGTGATGAACACTCTGACCATTGGACATCTTCCTTTTCCCTTTTTCCATTTAATTTTTCTTTAAAGTAAGTGCTGTGTCTACATCTGCCTATGCTTTTGAAGGCTTCCCAGTTACGCGCTGAAAAGGTTAATTCTGGTTGTATATCAAAAGAGATAAAGTACGTGTAGTAACTGTTTGGATCATAGTTCAAGTAACTAGAGTATTACACAACTTTTTCCTAAATAGCCTTTATCAGTAATTATTTCTCAAGCAGCATTCTTTAGATTTATTGCTAAATTTTCATTTGTCTTTATGTTAGAGATCTTCAAGTTCTTGTGCATAAGCTGAACTTACTGTGGTTTGTGCTCAGAAGGCTTCAAAACACTTTCAGAAATGCATGGTCCCTTTGGGAATCTTTTAATTCATGTTCAGTGAATGCTTTTCTCTGTAAATTGTACTGTTTTGTGTTTCTTATGGGATTTGCCAGACCCGAGGTGGTTTGTTTTTAATCTCTGTAACCATCAGAAGTGTGTCCTGTGTGTTAATGGTGAGCTTGGTGTTTAATCTTTTGTGTTGGGTGTACAGATTTATGACGATGGCTTCTCAGACAGTCTGAACATGATTTAGACAGAAGTCTTGAAGACTGTAAGATTCTCTGCCCCAAATATTTGTTAGTGTTGGTACGAAGCTGCACATTATCAAATCCATCTTGCCAAGAACATGTAG